GCCAGCCGTCCTCATCACGTAGGAACCGTGTCATCCCTCAACCAGACCTCCTCATCACGTAGGAGCCGTGTCACCCTTAGATAACCAGCCGTCCTCATCATGTAGGAACCGTGTTATCACCTTTAGATGGCCAAGAACTCTTCATCATGTATGAGCAGTGTCATCCCTTGACCAGATTTCCTTATCATGTAGGAACCTTGTCGCCTTTAGACGACCCGAACTCTTCATCACGTATGAGCAGTGTCGTCCCCAACAACCAACATTATCCAATTTCTAAGTTTAAAAGGGAGAGAACCTGACAAAAACGTGATGTCTTGTCGTCTTTGCCCTATTCTTGTTAACACCAGAATGTGCAAAGAGGGGCAGCTGTAGACACCCGTTTTTGTCCGGGTCTTTCCTATCTAATTTAATTTTAATTTTATTATTATTATTATTATTATTTATTATTTTTATTATGTTTATTAATTACATATTACAACATTTTGTGCAGGCCATCCACTTAAGCCCAACTACAATCAAAACCCAGACCCGGTCCAACAACCCAGTAGATGACCCGAACCGGCCCACTTGACAACCCAGCTAGGGTTTCATCTCAATGTTCCAGCCGCCTCATTTCTGGCCATTGGATCTGGACCCATCCAACGGTCCAGATCACGCAGAGCTTAGGGTTTGAAACCCTAAAATATCATCAGCTCAGCCGTTTGGCCTTCCAGCTCCAGCCGCCGCTTGACTCTTCAACTTCCCAGCCGAGCCTCACCCCCGACAGCCTCTGACGCCGGCCGCCTGCATCCACAGTGATTGAAGGGCCATCCATCAGTCTTTCCACAGTGAAAAGCAGAGAAATAAAATGAAAAAATCACAAGAAATCTCATCAAAATCCCGAAGTAATCGGGGTTGTCACTCAAGGCTAAGCATAGGGAATTATTCCCTATCATATCTAGCAGCTCATCGAATCCATCACAGGCATCATAAAAGAAATGAAGACAGAGGAGAGGGATTCATTCAGTGGGGGTTTGAAAAAAACATAAGAGGGAGAGAGAGAGACATTCGGGGGGTTGGAAATAAAAAATCCAGAGAGTTTCGAACCCAAAATAAAAAAAAGAAAAGAAAAGAGAGAAGAGGATAGGATCTCACCACGGTTTGGAGGTCGAGAAGCCTGACGGTCGTCGGTTGTCAAAACTTTCGAAGGTAAAACTCTCAGATTTAGAGAGCTAGGGTTACCTTTAGGTCGAGATAGTTGGGGATCTAGGTGGAGAGTGAAGAGAGGAAGGTTTTGGAGGGTTTTCTCCATCTCCGGCCATCGTTCGTCGCCGCGAGCACCGCCGCGGGCGTAGCCGGCGGTGGACAAATCTCTTCTCCGTTGAGAAGGTTGAGAGAGTTTTCTCTCTCTCCCTCTCTCTGTTTTTAAGCAATGAAAGAAATGAGGCATAGACCGAATTTTGGCTTGATTTTGGTCATTTATACGCGGACCAGAACGGCGTCGTTTAAGCCAAAGGGGTTTCCGTGTTTTCATATTAAGGGATAATCCCACTTTTAGTCCTTTCTGCTTTGTAACCTCACGGTTTAGTCATTAAATAAAATTATATTTATTTTATTTCGAGCCTTAATGTTTCAATATTGGTATTTTGGTCTGGTACTTGTTTGTTTTATTATTATTATTAATGTTGAACGTTGGCCATAGTATTTATAATTATTTCAATTTAGTCATTGGTTATGTGTTGTTTATTTCTTGTGAATGTTAGAATTTGGCCATGATATTTATGTTTCTTATATTTTAGTCACTGTTTGGTATTTGGTATAATTACTGTTTGAATCTTTAAGTTTCTGTTTATTCTAAAATTGACCACTGATTTTGTTCTGTTTTATTGTAGCCATTGATTAATCTAGTTTCTCTATTTTATGTTTCTGATACTGTAGTTTCAATTTACACAGTTTAGTCACTTGTCTATAAAGCTTAGTTATTTTATGTTATTTGCGTTATGGTTTGCCATGTTTGCATGTTTACATTTTAACCCATGTTATAATATTAATGTACATATTATGTTCCAAAGGTATTTGTGCATGTACAAATTTATTTATTTTTATCTTTATTTCATTACATACGCATGTCGTATCATATATGTCTATATACATATTTATTAAATTTATTTTACCCTTGTATATTCGTATATATATATGTACATATATTACCAATGTTCGTTACATATTATTTAAATTGATTTATTTTAATTTGTAAATTATCTAGTTGTCAATATTTTATGTTGTTCATTTGAATATTTTCAAGAACAAAGATTTGTAGAATGAGCGTGGAAAGTACCACTTGATCGAAGTGATACAATCCGATACGACATTCGAACAAAGGTGAACTTGAAATAAAATTGATTTTATTTTTGCTAATTAATTATTTTATTTTAAGTTGAACAATGCGATGCATATTACTAAATAGCAATGTACTTTATGCGAAGATCGATTTTTTATTTTTATATTCGATTCACGTTTTTAATATAAATGAGGAGGGAATATTCTTTTATTGATAAGAAATAGTTCGAGTTAGTTTTCCCGATGGAGGATTGCTAATTTCAAGATTTCCTTTCGAGTTAAAGAATTTTCTCTAATTAAATAATTCGAAGCAAATTAATTAATGTTCGATAAATGGATCATAAATTAACTTTATATTCGATTTGTAATTTCCACCATTATGACAATGTGTAAGCGACACAGTACCAATTTTGGGCGCTGTGGGGTGCTAATCCTTCCCCACGCGTAACCGACTCCCGAACCTGTTTAAATCGAATCTTTGGTAAATGCATACTAGTTTTCGTCTTAAAAAAAAACGATTTTTCTTAAAATTGTTTTAAAAAAAGACATTTTTAGGTATTCGACCTACCTAACCCAAAGGTCGATGGCGACTCTATTCAATTTATTCCAAATTAATTCCAAATCACCAATTTTTCTAAAATTAAAGTCATAATCGTTTTAAAAATAATATTTAATTGTTTTACCTAAAAAAAGGGTTATGACAATATATTTTAAAATTAATGAGATTAAATAATATTTAACTTAAAGTGTTATCTTGTTTACTCTAAAAAGTTACACAATTGGTAATAGTTTTGGTTACAATCGATAACGTTACATCAATTTTTTACAACTTTTTAAGTTGCAACCATAATTATGTAATTTACATGATTTGCTATGGATAGCATAATATTTTAGGTTTCAATATAAAATGTTACTCAGTTTACTCTAAAGAATTACAACACTAAATAATATTTAACCAGCTTATATGCAATTAATTAATGATTTAATGGTAAGCTTTCTCTTCGTGTTTGATGCATCAGCTTATATGTATACATCGAATAACAACAGCAACCTTATTGAAGTTCAAGGGGCCAAAGAAGCCATTATTATAAGCAGGGACGGTCATAGAATTTTATATTAAAAAGAGTGAATTTATAAAATTTTAGAGAGTTAAAATAGATTTTCAATGGAAAATATATATAATACATAAGAATTTGAAACTTTTAAGGAACGATCGCTTCCACCCGCCTCCTCTCAGTTTATCCCTGACAATCAGATTTAGTGCACTCACATTCACATGTAACTTTACAATCAAACCCTGAACCACACGAATAGATGCAGTCCCTCGTACAAACGACGGGGGCCCAAATACATACTCCATCATGCTCATTACCAATACTATCATCATTATCATCATCTTAATCCCTATGCAACTCAGTTCAATCTTAAATCGATCGTCTTATCATAATTATGATTATCATGAACATGGGTTGTTCTAAGTTGAGTTTTTTTTTTTTTACTTTCTAAGCATAAGATATAATCTCAACATAATATCTTAGTATCTTGGAATGTTGCTTGTAGAGCAAGGGATGTTTTTATTTGATATTTTTCCAGGAAAAAAAAAGGATTAGGTTACATATATTACCCATACAATTGTATTATCATGTTACAAACTTACTGCAATTAACTAGTGGTGTGCGTTCTCTTCTTTCCTGATCCATCAGGCTGTCGAGGAGGAGCAGATGAAGGCCGAGGAGAAGTCCCATAACCTGCATCCACATAATGTATTTTAATATATATATATATATATATGTTTCAAATTACCCAGAAATAATAATGTAAATATACCTGGAGCATGAGTGGAAGCCTTTTGAGAGTTTATGGGGCCAAAGAAGCTAGCAGTGGTAGATCTAAGACACCTCCATTCACACTTGACGTGACACCCGAATCCTGAACCACATGAATTGATGCAGTCCTTCATACAATCGACCGCCATCACGACCGCACCGTGCTCCGTCATGCTTATCGCCATTACTATTATAATCGCCTTTATCCCCGCAGTCGACATTCCTCTCTTCTTCTTCTTCTCCTAGTCGTCTTCGATGTTAGAAAGCAGCTATTGGTTTGGTTATAAAGGAAAATTAAAAGGCTGGATTTTGTTAACCTTTGTGTTTGCATTTTGGTTATCTTTTAAAATTTGATGAAGACTAAATTTAAACATGGTTGTTTTTGTTCTGTACCCATATTTAGTCATTTTTATTGTTAACAAAATGATGAGTGTTGAGAAAAAAAGTGAATCCTTTTTTTTTATAATTCAAGAAAAAAATGTAAACAAGGATTCAAAATTGTGGTCCTAATGCAACGTAACGCTCGCATCGCAACAGAAATATACGATGCAATACGATATCGACAGATTTAGCTGCTCAAAGGATCAGTGACTTATGTTACACGAATATATATGGGGAATTGACCATGTCATTTGTTCAAAAGTCAAAAGTACTCGTTTCCTTGTTTAAAAGAGTTTGATAACATGGTTGCATTTTGCAATGGATGAAAATATAGCCGAAGGTCAGGAAATGCAGCAATGGCAGCCGAAACCAGTGAAGATGCAGAAGATGATTGCAAGTCAAAGATGGCACAAACTATCAAATAACCAAAAGTTATGTTACTCAAACTCGAATATAAATGTAAAAATACGATTATGCGACCAAAATAGTTATTTTCATTCCTTCTAAGCTTCCCCTTGGAAGGTTTATATATGTCTGATTACATAGTATTCAAGAAGAAGAAGAAAGTCCTAGCAACATATTTGAGACTAGCTTCTGCTTCATACTAACAATTCCATGTCCCTTCATCCCAACTTGGATCTTCTACTTCATTACTTATGCTGGTCCCGGGAAACGGTTCTTCGAATCCTTCGTTCATCCTTTCCGGTGGAGGGCAGCCCTGATACGAGTTGTTTTCGTGACAATGCCATAAGAGCTTTTCCCAATAAGGATCCTGCAAATTTCAACATCAAGAAATCAATTATTTCCATGAAAATCCAAGCTTGAATAATGGGGGTGGGGGTTTATGTGTTTTATACCTTACAAACGATGTGTGGATTTCCGATAATGACGAGCAACGATTTAGCCCGGGTGATTGCAACATTGAACCTTTTCGGATTACTGAGAAAACCCAGACAGTAAGTTCTATCGAAATCATTATGTTTGATTGTCGATCTCACCGTAGATACAATAATGACCTCCCTTTCTTGGCCTTGAAATTGTTCAACACTGCCAACTTTTACATCTATCAAGTCCCAGGTTTCGAGCACTTTCTTGATCTTGAGGACCTGCTGACGGTACGGTGTTATTACTCCAATATCCGACTCGTTTAGATCAGTACTTGCTCTTAACTTATTGATGATGTCAACGACTTTGCTTGCTTCGATTCGGTTAAACCATGATGGATTATTGCCTTCTCTCTCATCACATCCTTGAATGCCGAAGAATAGGACTGGAAATTCCTTATTTGGAAAGAAATCGACATTTGACATTATCGAGGAAGAATCTTCTTCTTTACATGCAATCAACTCGCCTTTGTAGAAAAGCCTTGAAGGGAGATCTAGAATTGCCGGATGACAACGGTAATTCCTAACCAACTTCGTTACATAATTGTTATCTTCATTGCAGTAGGCTTCACACTCGAAAAGCCTTTCGAGATAGGATTTTCCCAATCCAAGAGACTCCGCATCTTTCGAGAATACTACAGGACCAAGCTGCTTTGGATCTCCAGCAAGGACAACAACTGTTTCCCTTCTGCTAAAGTTAGCTATAGGAACCATGCTTTCTGGTTCCGAGGCTTGGCCAGCCTCATCAAGGAAAATGTGGGAGAAATGACCACGATTCACCCCTTCTGCATAAAGTAAAGTTGAACTCGTATAAGTTGATATGATGATTCTATAACGCTTGAGAGCTTCCAGTGGTGGACACTTGAAAACGGACAGTTCGAAGTAGGTAAAGCGAATATAATCTGGTGGAACATCCTCATAGGAGCGACTAGTGGCGTTTAGCCTAAATATTTGACTCTCTTTAACCTCCACGTTCTCATTACTGATAAGTCTTTCTAATATGTGGTCTGCAGCACTATTTGAAGCTGCACATACAAGAATCCGACCATTTTTCCTTCTAGTATATATCTGTAGAATTGCTTCAACCAAAGTCTTGGTTTTACCAGTGCCAGGAGGGCCATAGATCACATAGGGAGGAGCTCCTTTGCAAGCAAGTATCATCTCGACGGAATGCATCTGTTCCTCATTCAGAGAACCGGAACAAGACACAATCGGAGGACTTTTAACCAACATCCTTTTGTTCAATTCCGATGGAAAGAGAAGATTGTCTTGTAAAGACTGTGCTGCTTCAATAGCTTGGTACAACCTCCTCATGCCAACCCGGTTATATGTAAAGTGAACATTGTATAAGTTTCTGTCCCGGTGAAGGGTGTGAAATTCTTCTGCAAATCTCAAGAGCACTTCATCAGCTTCAACACGATAGATGTAGCCCTGAAACATCCCCAAAACGAATCCACCAAAGTTCAGATCAAAGAATGCAATAACGATAACAGTGAATACGGAAAAAACAGCCGGTTGATTTTTGGCTATAACTGCTATAAAAAACATCCATTGAAATCGATTACCATCTCAGATATTGGTTATTTGTTAGCATCCCAAAATGAGTTTAAACATGCATCACCAATCAAAGTTTCTCAATGATATTGAAACACTCAGACGAGTAAATGCTTCTCTGGATTCAATGTTTTCTGTTGGAAGAAATAGCATACCTGATATACGCGACAATCTGAATTGTCGGAGGCAATCTTTGCAAAAATAAAATCACCATGTACGAGTGAAGGCCTCCTCTCAGCTAATCCAGGGACCTCGAGAGCTACAAATTGCCGTCCTTTCGTCCTCATCATGACACATTCCATGTTATGAGCCCTCATTTCTTCCTGCAATGAAGTTAAAAATCAACATGAAAAAGGACCACACAATATTATCATCTTCGATAAATCAACCATTAGTAGCTACCTCTAAATGCAGTTCTTCCATTACAAGCAATGTACTGAAGAAAGCAGCATAATTCTCCTTTGTCAAACCTTCTGCAAGAATATCAGGCATATGTTTATTCTCTATTAACTCCCTGATATTTTTCGGGATCGGATATTCAGCAATCTTGCATTTGTATCCTCGTTTTGTTGGCTTAGCTGGGCGAGAGGAAACAACATACTCATCAACAGCAAATTGGTTTCTTCTTCTTGGAGCTCTCCTATAAGGCATAGTAGAAGCCAGAGACTGCGAGATGTTATCTTCAGCCAATAGAAAGACTACTCGTTCAATCCTATTATCATCTACATCGAAGTGTACTACAGTTGTGTGCAAACCCATGTCATTCGGTTTGCAAGAGAGCCAAATGGTAAGTGTCTGTCGGGATTGAAGTACTCGATCCTCGAGAGAGTATCCCTCTAAGAACCCTTGCCTATTTTCTGACTGTGAATCAGCTGAAGGCGGTTCCATTAGAGACAAAGTAAACGAATCTGCCGGATTTGAGCAGAATATCCTCACTCCCCAGAGTTCTACTGGCTCATCGGTGGTGTTCTCTAATGTAATCGGCCACTTCGAAGTTTGTCCAACAAGAATGGATTGAGGCTTCCCTTGACTGAAAGGAAAGGGAACTGAGATAATAACCGGATCCCCTTCATTTATGTCATAACTTTGAACAGACTTATCATCAGCAAAATCAATAAATCCGATCTCGCCTTTATCACTTATGACCGAGCATTCATCATCCCAACCATCATTCCAACACGAACTCATCGCTAATGGATTTTGATGCTAGCAAAGATGATGACAAGTATCAAACACAACGCATTGTAAACCTCATTACCATAACAAAAATCTATAGACACACAAGATTACAACATCCATATTCCACTTAATCACAACCCTGGTCTTAGTACCCTAGACAACGAAGATCATTATCTATCACGATGCAATACTACCAACATTACTTTCTGCTACAAACATTAATCTGCAGCTCCTTGAAAGGAAACAAAATTTGGCAAACGAAACACGATATCGCATTGCAGGCCTATAAACAAAAACTACTAAAGCAAATGGGAAGATTTATATATATATAAACATATATCAAAACCTGATTTAAGCAGCAATTCCTAGTGGAGACAGTGTACTGTTTACATTGTTAACCTAATTCAAGTAAGGTATTTAGTATTTACAGTTCTTTCATGCATCATAAAAAACGATCAAACAAGTATACAATTATAGATACTATTCTAAGTTTCAACAGAGTGTAATCCATCAATGCTACAAGATGTTCTAAAAGGGGAAAATAGAAGTCATACCAAGCAGGAATAATATTTTTTATATACAAATTAAAAAAATTATAAATTCTACACACATACACACACAATTCCCTCTTTGACAAAATAAAATGGACTTAATCATTAATATAATAAAATTAAACATGGAAGAATTCATATCTAAAATAAAACAAAAGGAAATGACAAGTAGTAAAGTACACACCTTTGATTGAAAACACAGCAAAGTTGAAACAAAAAGTAAAGAAATTTGTGAACTTTATGTTGAAAAAAAAAACCCCAGTTTACTGAACAAGCAATCTACGCTAAAGCACACTTAAAACTGGGGGTTTTAAGTGAGAATTTACTGCTCTCGAGATTTCTTCAGAAGAACAGAGTGCAAGTGGAAACTGATGAAAAAATATATTGTTTTTTTAATATCAAAAAGATGACTTTTGCTTTTCCAATTGCTGCAACTTAGAAACGAAGTTATTTTAAAAATCAAATAAAAAAAAGATAAAGAAAAAAGTTTTCATCACGTCAAAACTGTGGCATCTTGATGAGACACTACCAGGTACGAGATTAGGTTTACCCATAGTCTTGTAAGAAATGGGTCGGACCCATATATTGTGAAGTTCCAAGCAGATTGTGACACGTCAGATTCCCAAAGAGATTGCTGAAGAAAATGATGACGTGGCAAAGCATGATTGAGCTCTTGGTCTTTAGGTCAACAAAGGATAGAACCAAACCAATATTTCTAATTTTTTTCCAATTATAATCAAATTTTAAGGGTAAAGTATAAAAATGTCCCTTGGTTACAGGATATCATTTTTTTGTCTCTTGACTATCAAAAGTTACAAAATTGTCATTTGACTATTCATTATGTTCCAAACTTATTCTTTTCTATTAAAAAATTAACGACAATCTGAGCTAGACGTTAACTTGTTGACTGAGATATGATAAAATATGATTCCATAATCTCAAACAACTGTCATATTGTAGTCAGCATGTTAAAGTCCAACTCAAAAGACTATTTTTAACGAAAAATGACAAGTTTGGAACATAATAAATAATCTGGTGACTATTTTGTAATATTTAATATCTAAGGGACTCGATAAAACAAGTCTTTATAGTCGGGATACCATTCTGTAACTTTTAATAGTCAAGAGACTCAATAAAGTAATATCATATATTCGAGGGATCATTTGTATATTTTACCCTTTTTATAAACACTTGTATTTGATCTATTAATGAATTAATTTAATATAATACTTGGGAAATTATTATGAGAGTAATGTCTCAATTCAGTTTAATTTATTTATAATATCAGAATTCAAATATATAATTTTAGGACAAGTTTAGAGTATACGTCGCACACCTAAACACACCATTAATATGACACATTGATGCATACCACTAATTAAATTATCTTCATTAAATAAATAGAAAAGAATATAATTACCTATACACAATTAATCATTTATTATTATTTAGTTTAAATTTTAATAGTAATATAATTAAATTGTATTTTTATTAAAAATTATATTTAATTTATAAATTTTTTTATATTGAAACACTTAATCTATATAAGTTTGTAAATGCATCCCCGTAACTATCAAAAATCATCCACCGAATCATCATTTATCACCGAAAAATTGTCGTTGACTACCATTGTTTATTACCGGAAAATTATTTTCTTCAAATATTAAAATTTATTTTTTTTTCACATTGCGATTTTATCTTCTGCAAATTTTCAATTTGAAAACACTGTTATCTCTTTTAGATTCATTAACACCCAATGTTAATACTTTTTCATTAACACACTAATCCTGAAATATTCTCTCATATTTAAAATAGATTAAAGGTTGATAATGGTAAACTAAACTTCTCGTTTGAAATGAGAATATTATGAAATATTCTCTCAATTTTTAACAAAAAAAATAAACATAAAATCAACGGGTCATGGATCAATTGATGGGTTGTTTCGTGACCCGACTGGAAACTGCCTAGTTGCTTTATCTAGGTTCATCAGTCACACGACTGTGCTGGAGGTGGAGCTCTAGGGCATCCTTGAAGGCCGCAATATCGCATGGCACAACGGCTTTGAACGTGTCATAGTGCAAACCGACAATAGTGATGCACTTCGCCTACTCTCTCCTCCGTCCATCGACAACCATCTCGCGCTGGTGAGGTCCATAGCTCATCTTTAACTCAAGGCTTGGTTCATTGAATTCAAGAAAATTTATCGTGGGGGAAATAAAACGGCTGATTTCATCGTAAAAATAGGCGCTCCCAAGGACGGTTCAGTTATGGTCTTCGATTCCCTTTCGCCTCAACTTTCAGATATCGTTTATAGAGACACTCCTGGTCCTTCCTATGTTCGAGTAGGATTAATAGGCATGTGATTTGAACCCAACGGGTTTTGATCCTATCCGACCTGATCGAATTGGGTTTTTTTTTATTTCGAGGTCGGATCGGGTTGAATTTTTTTAAAAGGTGTTGTTTAGGTGGGGTTAGATTTAGATTTAGGATAAAAAATATCCGACCCGAAAAATATAATTTTACCTTATATATATATATAAATAATTACAATAATACCCCTATCTATATTATTATTTTTAATTAAATCACTATTTTTATTGAATAAAAATAATATTTTATTATTATTTAGGATCGAATCGAGTTCGGATTTTATCTCAAAAAATCAGATCGGGTGGAAGATATATATTTTTCGGGTCGGATCGAGTGAATGATGTAAAATTTTCGAAATGAAACGGATTAGCCGAAACTCGACCTATATCTATCCCTAAGTAGGATCTTAATATTATGGCTTTGTCCTCTTTTGTATTAAAAAAAAAAACAAAAAAGTTAGTTTGACTCAAATTTTGTTGAATCTAATCTTAAAAGTGTGTAATACAATTTATTTGTTAATAATAAAAATTAGGGACAATGAGGTGAGTAAATTAAGAGTAAAATATTTAATTCGAGTAATTTTTTTATAATAAAATAATTATATTTATATACAAATATGAAAGATAATAGGTAGAAATTGAGTCGAGTTGCATATAATTTCCTTTTGTGTGATTTTTTTTCATTTAGATTTTTCACATCTAAATTTTAGTGTATATTATATGATTAAGTTGACAATGCCATTAGTAGATATTGGTGTTCTGTGAAACGTGGGAGTTGAGCAATGAACATGCTAACAGTTGGACCTCCATTATTCATATTTTCGATAAAAGTGCCTAGATAATGTATTTGGGAATGAAAATTACTCTTACAAGTCATTATTGGTGTTTGAATCTAATCTTTAAATATAACAACGATTTCTTTAATCATTAAAATAAATTAATTCGTATAATATTTTTATAATTTTATTTTATCAAGTAAGATGGTAGGTACATTATTTAGGGCAAGTTGGCTAAGCTACAAACGTACGAGAACATGATTTTGAGTAGAAATTATTGTGTAGTTTTGATGACTTCTACTAAATGCTATAATAAAAATCCTAATTTAAAAAGTAATTTTCATTATAATTAATATGATTTTTTCTCTATCATTATTCAAAAACAATTTCCTATATTTTTCATTCTTTAAAGGTATTTTTATATATATAAAAAAACATGATCGGTGCAAATAGAGCCATGATTGAATTATGAGGAGAGAAAGTTGTTTAATTTTAAAATAAATAGGATCTAAAAAGTAATTAAATCATAAAAAATAAGAAATTAAGGGTTTAATTTCATTATTTTTAAAATTCAAATGTCTTAAAAAGTAAGTAAATTAAACAAATTTGAGATCAAGGTTTAATTTCATTAATTGTAATGGTTTTTTAAATTCAAATGTCCTTAAAAATAATTATACCGAAAAAAATAGGAAGGACAAGGGCTTAATTGTAATGGTTTGAAAACCATTAACAACTTATAAAGTAATTATACCGTCAAAGTTGACAGTGTCATTGCCCCAGGCTATTTGACATAACTGACACCTTTTTTTTTAAATTTTCCCTCTCTGGCACCGTTTGATCAATATTTCCAGAAGTAGCACCCTTTGTGCTGAGTTGGCAAAGGCGCGTCCCCGGGGACGCGCTTTACCCGTGTTTTCGCTGAGTTGGATGCCACGTGTGGAAGGCGCATCCCCGGGGACGCGCCTTTGCCAACTCAGCAGACACGTTTTTTATTTAATAATAAATAGTTTATTTTATATTATTATAAATTAATAATATATTATGTAAAATGATTCGATTATAATGTAAGAATTATCAAATGTAAGAATCAGCAGACACGTATTTTATTATTATTATAAAATGTTTCGATTATAGGAAAAATGTATTAAATTATAATATTACACATATGGTTATATTATTATTTTTTGATTTTGATTATCGATCTATTAATTTTATCAGTTAATTATTTAAATGTTATCAATCTAGTCATCTCATATCAATATTTAACGAAAATATTGATGTATAAGTTAATAAATTAGTATAATTACATATTTAATCTTCAAGACTTACATATTTTATAAAATTAGTCTTATTAAAAATTTAATTTAATAAATTTAATCCTCCAATCAGAACATGAAATGTGTCATCGTATACATAAATTTTTTAATAACTTTTAATTTTTTTAATTTAATATTTTTCTCTACTTAGAAGGTGGAATTATTATTATATTTTAAAAAAAATTATAACTAAAAATATTAATTATTATATTAAATAAATATATTAAATATATTTATGTATTTAAAAGTTAAAAAAAATTATTTAGGTGTACATACATTGACAAATTATATAAATGCAATAACATTAAATTATTAAAAACAAAAACATTCATTTAAATACAATATTAATTACATAAGAGTTAACGGTTATATGATGATAACAGAGCTGGACATTTTTTTCTATTGTGCCCGATGTTTCTACAATGCCCACATCGTTTTTGTTCTGTTGACTTCTCTCGAATATCCATATCACAATGTATTCTAGTAGATTTTGGACGACCTGAGTCCCTCAATAGCAATGGATCTGGTACAATTGTAAGCCAAGTTTGAAACTCAAATTCATATACCTTGAATACTTGTGAAAGTTGGTATACGGGATCAACATAATTTTTGTAGTCCAAATGCGAATGTGAGCAAGCAGCAATGACATGAGAGCATGGATATTTGAGTGCCTGAAAGAAACCACAATCGCACCACCTCTCTTGCAGATTAACTCTGAAAGAGTTAGCTTCAATCCCTTGCAGGGGACGTGGCATTTCGGTTACACGAAACAATTCAGTAGGAAATCTGTACTGAAGTGAAGATAGTCTTCTCTGGCCTGCTACACGAATCTTTAACGAAATTTTTGTGATTAACTCCTCAATTGTGATGTTTCTCTTCAAGGTTAAGGGGATATAATGATCTGACTCAAAAACAACCCCCTCTTCAGTTTCCTTAAT